TGCGGGTAACTCCGCAAAAAACGCATCTTCGCACGGGCAGCCCGTGCGTTGGCCAATTATTTTTCCTGGCACTAAGATTCATTACATATTATCTAACATAAAATGTCATACATGTGTTTTATTAAAGGGAATCAAATCAAACCGCTCCAACTTTAATTCTAGCTTTTTTATTAGCCAAGTTTAGCTTTTGTATTAGACTTACCTCTATGAATGCCTTTTGAATGACGTCCGAAATTTTCAATGGCTCTTCACTAATCCCCGTGAAAGTGGCGAAATCACTGAATGCAAGTCCCATGCCCAGTTTCTGCAGTGCTTCCACCAGTTCAAGTCGCTTTTCCAACTTGAATCTTGGCAATTCAACCTGAAATAAATCCGAATCTTAAAAAAGCCTTTACTAATTGAATCACTCGTCAAGTCCACAGACCGAGCTCACAGATTCGGAAGCTAGTTATTTGTAAAGTTCGCAAATTTTGAAAGTTGGTCACTCAATAAACTTTCAGATTTCTGCTCAGTAAACAGGAAAAAAAAAATTCAAAATATGCCAATTACTTCAACTTCAGCATCGTGGGACTGCTGAACGTAGGACAACAGCTTTTTTCCAGTAAGCTTTTGTTCAACATCAGCTAGACCGAAACGTTGTTGCGGGAGAATGATAAGCATCTGTGTCTGACCACCACTGTACGGCATCCCAAGTACCTGCACGTCTTGATCTTCATAGTAAGAGAAATGCTCCTTCATGACCATCATGTCCACCTGCAAGTAATCGCTCTATTTTAGGTGAGCGCCAAATCAATGCGAAAAACTCGATTCCAGTTTTAAAAAATATAAAACTCTCGACAGCATCGAAGTCCGTACAGCTAACCGTTGTGATGTTCCTGTAGTTATTCTGACCAATAATTAATCGGTCACACTGCATCCCTTACTAATGCCCATTGCCTACGCTTACAGAAGTCTGCAGTACACAATTCATTCAGAAAAACTGCGTCTTAATGCCTCGCCGGCCTGATAAGTATCGCAGTTGTACTGAATTTCTTTGGAGTTTCACAAGTTTTAGAGATATTTTTGCTTTTTCTGCTTCTT